GTCATGCTTTGCTTAACAAAGGGAGAAGTGTGTCGTTAGGCGATTTACTTGTTGTGCAAATATAGTTTTTTTTTTTTTTATCACAGATTTGCTTGTAAGTAGATAATGCACCATGAACATTCTCCCTAATAATGAAAATTGGTGTTCGGGGGGGCCTTGTTTTTGAAATTTTTTAAGGAAACCAGATGAGGCTGCAAAAAATTTTTGCTAAACCCTTCACGTGAATTTTCTTTTGGGTTTTTTTTTTTTTCTTCTCGCTGGGGTCGTGTGAGCAAAACCCCAAACTAAAACAAGCACAAGGGAAAAAAATGCACCAAGGCTGGGAAAACGAAAAGTTGAGGATTGCCAGGCTTACGCAAGGAGATACTGAAAAAAAGTGTTCTTTTCCTAAATTTTAGGGTCCAAGTGAGTGTTGAGGTACATTAAAGCACCTTTTCAACATTGCTTTGGGTGTAGAGTTTTTAAAGTATTGAAATGATTGCTGGTCCATTGGCTGGAGGAGAGGTTTTTGTTACACAACTTTGGGGGGGGGGGAGTGGTATTCGGGGGCAAGAACTTTACTGTGATGAACCCAAACTCCATTCAGAATTAGGTCATCAAGTTTGGTGGATGAGCAGGTGCACTGTTCATTACTAGGAGGCACTTGAGATCCAATTTCTTTTCCAGAGGTAATTCTTCACACTATGGCCCAAAAATACTTCATTGGAACCACTCGACAAAAATGTCCCTTGTGACCCATGCCCTACTCAACCGCAACCCCCCCCCCCCCCCCAAAAACACACACAATTTAATCTTAAGAAATTGTTTTTCTTGAAACACTCTGTGGATTTCAGAATGGTACACTAGAGTAACGGCTTACCACTTTGAAATCCCCACTAGCATTAGCACAGACATTAGCGTCAGCCTGTCTTTCATAGGCCCCTTTTTTGTGTACTGCAGTGCCTTTTCTTCCTGAGTAATGTAGGTCTCTTCGGCATTTTTCTTCCAAAAGAGGCCTGTTTCGTCACAATTGAACACTTGTTCTGGTTTCAGTCCTTCAGTCATCTATTGTACTCCTTGAATTCCTTAACATATTTTTCAGCGCTTTGTTGTCCAGAAACTGGCAGCATCACCATGCCTTACCACACTGTGTATGCCAGTATAATACTACATAAATCTCTCAAAACCAGCCTTTGCTGGCCTTAAATTACCTCACACACCACTAGTTGCAGGCAATTATCTTTAACCAATCGTCATTGCAACTGCCTAGCCTTTCACAAATAAGTGACGTTTTAAGGTCTATCTCCTGCTATTGTTTCTGTTTATCCACAGACCAATAATTAACTTCTCAACATCTTCGAGTACTGGTGATCTCATTTTTGTCAGTATATTCTATCCCTTTGCAACAACAGCATCCTGATTTCCTTTTTCTTGGCTATGATGTAAGATATGGTTGTTCGGACTTGTTATACGCCTGGCCAGGTTCGGCCCAACGTACGCCACTATCATATTGTTCAATGATGTTTTTCTTAAATTCAATGTATTTCTCACTTCTTTACAAAAGGCTTGGCACTAGGAGCTTTCTTTGGAGCCATGGTAGCTTATTTAGCACTTGCAAGCACTAAAATCAATAGAAATATTATGAAATATTTCATTGGAGCAAGTGAGGGGACCGTCGCTCACTGGTAAACAATGGCACACTGGCTGGGAAGGGAAGGCTCAGGCTGCTCAGAGCGTGGAAGTAAGGTCCCGGACGGAAGTACTATTAGCGAGTTAATGGACATTTGCGTTGCCAATGTTTGACGAAATAACAGGACTATTTCCGAAATGGACGACTTTCAGGCCGGACGATTGAGGGACCACTGTACTTTACTTTTTAATACCTAGTTCTATTGCTAACTTAATGTATGTTAGTATAAACTTGTTACCTGTAATTTATAAGTGGAAAAAATGGCTTTCTGCTTTCCGGTGATGTCTGGTTTCTGGCGGAAGCTTAGAACCTAACCTGCTATATAATTGTGGCCCTACTGTACATAAATATAAAGAGAATGAGGAATGTGGTATAACAGAAGAAATTAATACCAAGTCTAAATATTACAGTACCATAATTAAATATCTGAAAAGAGAAACAAGATGTATGGTAATTCTAATACAGGGTCTCAGCTAAATGGTGGCATATATAAAGTTAATAATGTGAAAATAGTTCTAAACAGTGATATATATAACTCGCAAATCATACAGGTGACAATCGCGAGTTATCACAGTTCAGAAGGCAGCAACAATTAATTGAGTTTCTTACTTCCCAATAAGAGCCAACAAAAGTGCTCGTTAAATTTAAACACCATCATTAAGGTTTACCTACGCAAAATAAAACGAGTGTTAAAAAATAATTACATGAATATAAATAAAAGTACAGTAGGTCCCGCTTTACGATAAAGGACATGGATGTAATGAGGTCCTGATGGTGTCAGCAGGCAACTGGAAAGTGCTTACTCAAGTTCAGGATGCAACAAAGAGCATGTTACAAGGTTTCTTATTGCAAGAAGTAAAATTACTGGTGCTCGATCCCTCGCAGGTTTGGAGGGAAAAACAGACGGAGAGATGGAGACCATGTGATATTTACAATCATGATGATACTTCAATTGCTTGTGGCAGCCTCAACAGGTTTTTGCAAACACTGATGGCCGGCAACTTTACCCCTAAACAGTCCAAAATATATATACGTTCTTACCGCTAGCTGCCCCCAACGTATATTACGTTTCAATTTTTCCTGCCTCCAAATTTGGCACGACAGGCCTGAGATGCCTGGGTCAAGCAGGAATGGGTCTTAATCTCCATTGTGCACCATATTAAAAAAATCTGCGGACCACTTAGTTACCTTGTGGGGAGTGCCAGCTCAATGTAAACAGTGCAGCAAACACCAAGGCTTCATGGGTAGCATCATATTAACGCTGCCTTTTAAGAAAAAAAGTGGCGTTAACCCCAAGTTTTTAGGGTCTGTCTATCTCTGTCTTCTGTTTGTCTGTCTCTATCTGTCTGTCTTGGCTCTCTTTTTATGTCTCACAGGTACACCAAATACAATTATACTCCTTCCTTCTTCCTCTTCCTTCCTTCTTCTATACTCCTGTTTATCCAATCATTTGCTCACGGGACCTATAAATACTTGTTATTTATCCTGACAATAGTAAAATGGGGGGGGAAAACCCCAAGGCAGGTGTATATTGTCTACTGTCAATGTGTTCTTGTGACAATTTGAGTACAATTTCAGTACCTAATATTAGTGTCAGAACAAAAAATGGTTATGAAATGCCAAGAATACAATTAAAAAATTGTCATTATCAGACAATAAAATTTTATTTATATAATAATATAGAAATGAGGAGAAAAATGGTACCTACCATCCGGACTTACGACCCAAGCTTGGTTCGACCAACAGGTTCATAAGTCCTAAAATGGACGTAAGTCGAACACCTTGAAAAAAAATTGACGACATATTTGGGTAGGGCCATAATGTCAAACCTTTCCTATATTAAAATACCTACATAATACTGTAATGTAATGTACAATCATTATTTCATTCTTTTTACCATAATTTACTTCTATTGTCACATTTTAATTAATTTTTGTACCTGTATTATAATGTATACATGTTAGTGATCTGTTTTGTAATTTTTACTTCGCATACGGTTTCATATGTTACTATTATCTTTATGGTATTGTCAAACACAGTGGAATGGGAGAATACCACTGCCCGTAGTGGTATTATCCCATTCCATTTCTCTTTACTTAGGGTATTAACCTTATACCCCTAGAAGTAAGAGAAAACCAATGTTGGAACATGTTGTAATACGTATTCCAGCTGGCTGGCTGGGTGGTCGGGTGGCGTGGGTGTGTGGTTGGCTGACGAATGTGGCTGTCTCTCTTCTGTATGTATGTATTGTCTCTATCTATATATCTCGTTCCCTATCTGTATCTTATCTATCATCTATCTTATATCTATATCTATCTTATATTCTATATCTTTCTTATATCTCTATCTATCTTAATCTATATTCTTCTTATATCTATATCTATCTTATATCTATATCTTTCTTATTATCTATATTATGTATATTCTAATCTCTCTCTCTCTCATAGGTACACGTAAGTCAAAGTTATACATATTATAAATTACCTAGGATAATCCAAAAAATCCAGACAAGTGCTGTACCAGTGGGTCTGTGTTCTCCAGTGCCCTAAATTAATAATAATTTAATAATCATTATTATTATTACAATAATGCGGGGTTGTATGTAATATTAATAATATTATTATTATTAAGCTGTATATCATAAATCGTGTCACTCATTACTTACCTTTAAATATCTGTAGTCTTAATGTAGAGTGAATGAAAGGTGAGTAAACAAGATTTAATGAATAAATGAGAGTTTAGAATGTTCATCTCGAGTTATGTAAACAATCGTTGTTGTTGTTACCAGCCCGGACACGAATGGTTTTCTGTTCACTCTGTCAAGGTCGACCCAGAAAAACAGTTTTTCCATATTTGTTAATTTATATGTTTATTATGTTAATGTAGCATGTTTTATTATATAATTTAGAAAAAAAAATCATAGTGGATTAAGCAAAATGTCTATATTAACGTTTTATTACACATTTATGGCACTCAGTTGATTATTGTATCATTATTAATATGGCATCTTTTCAAGATCCAAGGTACACTCTTATGAGTGGCTCTGAAAACAGACAAGCAGACAGAAAGACAGACACAAATGGTAGACAGAAAGAACACAGGTAGAACAAAGACAGACACACAGACAGAAAGACACCTGGTAGACAGATAAACAGACACACAGAGATACTGATAGGACACAGATTATACAGGCAGACAGACACAGACAGGTTTATGTGCAACAGTTGAAAAACAAAATAGAGAGTTCGAGAGTAGGGAGCCTTTCTGCACAATCGCACAGTGCAAGATTCAGACTTCATCTTAGGGGGCCATGGTGAAATTTACTCTCCAGTTAGTACAGTTAATACAGTTGTATGATGCTGATGATTGGGCAGGGTTTCTCAAACTGATGCTGCCTGCAAGATGCATTGCCGCCGCAGTATTGTCAAATATTGTACATTTCCGTGCATCGGCCGGGCCAGCCCAGATTGCCAGATGCCACGGTTCGTAAGTCGAGTGGAAAGTATGTCGAGAGGTCATAAGTTCGGATGGTAGGTGATATCGGCAGGACTCAATGTTGCAGTCAGGTGAGCATTAAGTGCCCAACTTTGTCAGCCTCATATCTCTGTAAGTACTGACATTAATTTTTTTTTATTTTAATCCTATAACACTAAGAAAACTTTTCTCTATTTCAACGAAAAAAAATTATTTTTTCAAAATATTCAAGACACTGGGGAGAGAACGTTATATACGTTTGGAACCGTTTAGGGGTTAAGAACAAGAGAGGTATGATTAGAGTATGTCCCCCCCCCCTCCCCTTATTGCAACCTTTTTTCAAACTGCACTCACAGATGTAAAAGTGACAGTAGGACACAAGCCTGTCAACAAATGGGTAATGAGGTCGCTACCTCAAATTATGTGATGAGCAAATTGCCCTCGCCCATTAAAAATCCTAGAACTGATCAGTGGTTCACTTGTACAGAAGCAGCCCCATGCAGGTCTTTTAGGTTATCAATGAAGTAGTTGTATTAGTATAGTTACAGCATACATGAATTTGCAAACGGGGAATATACAGTGTCTAAGTATAGAAAGAGATGAATTCGTACACAAATATGAAGGTGAAAGAGGATAGGTACCAGGTAATACAAGATAAAATGACAAGAGAAACGAGGATATGTTCATTAATGTGTACACAAAGAATGGAGAAGATAGGTGCAGAATACAGCAGGGCTCCGCTTTACGGCGTTTCACCTTATGGCGTTTGCCTTATGGCATTCCGTTAATACAGAAATTTCATATTATGATCAAAACTCGCTATTACACGCTCCCCCTAAGTGATTTTCTAATATGGCCATAGCGTGCCACTCGGTTTATTTACATTCTCTGTGAGCTCCAGGGTTTCTCCATTATGTCTGGAAACTTTCCAAAAATTTCAGTTGTTTTAAAGTTATTTTATATTTTACAATTACTTCATAATTATACTTATGTGTACCTGTACCTAAGTAAACTTACAGGACTGTGCTGACGTGCAGGCCTTCCACGTTAAAATCACTAAGTGTGTCTTATTAGTCTTGAAAGACGCCATAATAATGATTAATAAAATGCAATAACATCATTGAGGCGCATTAAATTTCGTATATTAAGTTATATAGTCATTTTCATTATCCATCTTGCTGGAGACCTGGAGAGACTTCCGGGGTGTGACAGGACTTATGGTGGATCAGGCCTGATCAACCAGGCTTGTTAATGCTGACCAAACATAATCCAACATATGAACCACAGCCCGGGTGGTCAGGTACTGACTTTAGGTGCCTGTTCTAGTGCCTGCTTAGAGACAGCAGGGGTCTATTGGTAATCCCTCTGATGTATGCTGAGAGGCAGTTGAACAGTTTGGGCCCCTGACACTTATTGTGTTGTCTCTTATCGTGCTATGGAACCCTACTTTCATTGGGGGGATGCTGCACAGTCTGCAGAGTCTTTTGCTTTTGTAGGAAGTGAATTTTCGTGTGAGTTTGGTACTAGTAACTTTATAACATGATGAATCACCCCACAGTTTGTGAGCAGGGTAATATTTTGTTAAGGGATTCAGGAAAACTGGTAGCTGAGCTTGAGTTCTGGAAATGGAAGTACAATGCCTGTGTTATAACCTTTCAGAGTTGGTGCCATACTAGTATGGCTTACATGCTAGGGTTGGTGCCATACTAGTACGGGCATTGGCATGCTGGGGTTGGTGCATAAATTCTAGCGCCTTCAAATCTAGCAAGTACGCAAAGCTGGTAGGCTGCATATGAAAGAAATGGGTCTATTGTGGTCAGTTGTTGCGCAGTATAAAAAAATTCCTGCAGCAGCACAGTGCTTAAATGAGAAAAAAAAACTCCGAACGGATTTTTGGTTTAAAACAGCAACTTTGCACTGTATTTTTGTATGCTATTATGGTTGTATTCTAGCTTTCCTTGTCTCGTTGATAAAATGATTGGAAAAGACATATTTACAGAAATTGAGATGATTTTGATTGGTTTTCACAATGAAAAGTACCTTGAAATTGGAGCCTCAAAGTAGCCAGAAATGTTCGATTTTTGCCAAAGTTCAAAAGTAAACAAATCATGCAATGCGTCTAATAACACATCAACTGGTGATGAGTCTAATATTCTTTCACAATGTGCGCTGATATTATTTATACCTTTCTACACAAATGCAGTAGTCTGCGCATAACAGTAAATCTTTATTTCTTTGTGAGAATAAAAATTCAAGTGGAAAAGCAAAAGAAATGTTAGAAGGGCCTGGGGAAGTGACTAATGAACAGAGGAAATGTTATTTTTAGTGCCAGGAATGTCTGTCTTGTTTATTCTGGACCCTATTTGGAAATTGGCATCTTTTGGAAAATTTGTATGAAATTGGCAATTTGACCAGTTTTATTGGATAGTTTAAAATCAGGGCAAATGGTGTGGTTTCTCGTACTCATTCGATAGAAAAAATGGAGTTGCTCGCGAAATAGTTATGATTTTTGTCATCTGGTACATTGGAATAGGCTGAAAATAGGGCTCAAAGTGGGCGTAAATCGCGGCGATGCATAAACATCGTCTCGAGATTGCTAACTTCGCGAGAGTCATAATTCCGTAAGTTTTCCATCAAAGTCTAATTTTTGGTGGTCATTATGATCGGGAAAGATTCTCTATCATTTCATAGGAAAAAAATAATTTTTTTCTTGAAAATTTCCAACTTGATGAAACAAGTTTAGGAGAGGGCCTGCCGACCTGATTAGGGTTAAAGGAGGGGTTTGGGATATTGGCGTTGAAGGACTCTAAACTGTCATAACTGATTGCCTCTGCAAAGACAGTGATATGGATGAGTGATGGTGAAGTGTTGAATGATGATGAAATGTTTTTTCTGTCTTTTTTGGGTTTTTATTTGTGGTTCATCCTGCTCTGTGGGAAAAAGGGTGACGTGTTAAAAAAAAAAAAAAAAAACAAGATGTTTTTTCCGTCTCTTGTCGGAGTGTTGAAAGAAATAACGTTTTTTTCTAGTTCAACCCCAAAACAAAATGTTTGTACACAATAGTATTACTATTACTGGGGGATAACTGTAGAAAAATTATTCCTTTCGTATGCCTCACTCAGAGCATCATTCCTTTCTAAAAATGGTGTGTTATGTGAGACTGGGAGTACACCTACCATCCCGACTTACGACCAAGCTTGTTCCGACTAACCGGTCGTAAGTCAAAATTGGACATAAGTCGAACCTTTGAAAAATTGCCGACATACTGGGTAGGGCATAATGTCAAACCTTACCTATATGAACTACCTACACAGTACTGCAAATGTAATGTACAATCATTAGTTCATTCTTTTTACCATAACTTACTTCTATTGATATATTTTAATTATTTATCTACTATATAATATGTATACATGGTACTGAATGTATTGTAAATTTTACATTCTCATACAGTATCGTATGTTACTGTTATCTTTAAGTATTGTCGGACACAGTGGAATGGGAGACATTCCTTTATTAGGAGAATACGACCTGGTAGTGTCATCATACCAGAATGTTACTATAACCTATACCCTAAGTAAAGAGAAAACAACTCTGGAATATGTGTATACTTTATCCGGCTGGCTGGCCGGGTGGGTGGGTGATTGGGTGACGAATGTGGCTGTCTGTCTCTCTCTATCTACCTCTATATCTATATCTCTCTCTATCTCTCTCTCTATCTCTCTTCTATATCTCTCTCTATTCTCTCTCTATATCTCTCTCTATTATCTCTCTTATATCTCTCTCATATCTCTCTCCGTTCTCTCTCCATATCTCTCTCCATATCTCCTCTCCATATCTCTCTCCATATCTCTCTCCATTTCTCTCATATCTCTCTCCATATCTTTCTCCATATCTCTCTCCTAATCTCTTCATATCTATTCATATCTCTCTCTCTCTTTCACACACACACACACACACACACCACACACACACACACACAACAACAGGTACACATATGTACAGTTATCATACACAGTATAAATTACCTAGGATAAACCAAAAAATCCAGACAAAGTGCTATACCAGTGGATCTGTGCTCCGGCCTAAATTAATAATAATAATAATTATTATTATTACAATACATATGTAATAATAATAATAGTAATAATAATTCTCCATGGGGGAAGTGGAACCACCTGAATTTCTTCCCCCATAAAGCTATGGATGTTGTAAGAGGCCAACTAGAATGCGGAACAGGGGGCTAGTAGCCCCTTCTCCTGTATAAATTACTAAATTAAAAAAGAGAAACTTTTGTTTTTCTTTTTGGGCCACCCTTGCTTTGGTGGGATATGGCTGGACTGCTGAAAAAAAAAAATATTTAGTAATAATCATGAGGCCACATTCAATGTGTATAAAAAATTAATATAGACAATTTTGCTTAAATCCATCTATGATTTTTTTTTTCAAAATTATATAATAAATCATGCTACATAACATATAAACATATAAATTAACAAATTGAGGATTTTTTTCTGGGTCAGCTTGACAGAGTGACAAAAAACCATTCATGTCTGGGCTTGGTAACGACAACAACAACAACTAGTTTGTTTACAAAACTCACGAACCTTCTCACTCTCATTCTCTGTCTCCTCACTCTCTCTTCATTATCTGTCTCTTCTCTCATTCCCTCTCTCTCTCTCATTCTCTCTCTTTATCTTTCTCTCTCTTTCTTCTCTACATTCTCTTTCTCTTCATTCTCTCTCTCTCTCTTTCTCTCTCTCTCTCATTCTCTCTCTTTCTCATTCTCTCTCTCATTCTTCTTTCATTCTCTTCTCTCTCTCTCTCTCTCTCTCTCTCTCTCTCTCTCTCTCTCCTTCTCTCTCTCTCTCTCTCTCTCTCTCTCTCTCCTCTCTTCTCTCTCGTTTAATTCTCTGTTTGATCTCCTTTCACTTTACTTAAGATTACAGAGATTTTAAATTCAAATTCAAATTCAAAATTTATCTCTATCAGGAATACAATGCGAGTT